GCGGCTACAGAGAAGGCCCTCCCCCGGGGAGCCGCCAGCCGACATTGTCTGGCTGACGGCACCTGGAGAAGGCCCACCCTGTGCGACCTTAGTTCTCGACTTACGACTGGTCACTTGGTGACCTTGAAGTTACAGCTCACCTGGAAAAGGAGACTTATGGCCCAGATTCAAGGTTCTGACAGCCGGGTCTTCTCCGCCAACTTCAAACACTCGGCAACATGGCCTTTTGCAGTGACCCATGGCTGCATTTTACGGTGGTTTTGCTGGAAACCAGTACTCAAAACCGTGGTCCTGTAGCAAACCACTGGTCCGCTTAACAACGGCTGTGATCGCTTTATGGCTATCGTGTTTGCTTTACGACCATTGCAAAACAACAACACTAAAATCTTATAATGAAAGTAATATTAGGCTGCATAACTTGGGTTGCCTCATCCGGTCTGCCTTGAAGGCTGAAAATCTGTGGATCTTATAGGCAAATGGTCAGCATAGCCGGCTGGAGAATTCCACAAGTCTTAAAAGTTGCCACGTTTGGGGACCCCCTGGCCTAGGACTCTGTGAGGCCGGCCCCTCGGTGCTCACCGTGATTTTGGTGCCCTTGGCCTTTTTCCCGTGGAAGCTGAGCATGACGATTTCAAGGCCATGGCTCCCATAGGTCCCTTTGAAAAGGCCTGGCTGGATCAGATACTCCGGGCTGCGCGGAGGGAGGTAAATGCGCCGGTATGTTAAGCAGTTGCTGGAACAGAAAAAGCAGACCAGGGTGACCAACGCAGAGAGGGCCGGTTGGAACAATTCACTTTCCCCTTTATCAATTCATGTATTTATTCTCGTTCATCAAATTTAGGTGCAGTGATTCTAAACCAGGTATTGTGGTGTGAACTTTTTATCATTTAAAATAAAGGTGTCCCAAATTAAAGTTTCTAGGCCTTTAGTCAGACAGGAAAAGCAAACTAGGGAACAAAAAAGAAAGTGATGATTAAAATACGAGGAGAAAATTCTCGTCTGCTGGGCTTAAATTCCCTGAGAACCAGAAAGGCTGCATCCCTCAACTTAAGGGTGGTTCTCCTTCACCTGATGCTCCCTAGGTAGCCACGAGTGGGGAAATATGGGAGCTGCAGTCCAGGATTTCTAGAGGCCCTTGGGGAGAGCAGTAGCTTAGGGGGAGGAGGAGAGGGAGGCTGAGCCAACCTTAAAGCTGCTCAGAATCGAACTCCAGGCTGTGAGCAGTGAGTTAGCCCTGCATGAACACCGCATTCTAACCACTGGGCCACCAGGGCTCCTTGAGGGAAGAAACCAGATGGCCCCCTTTCCACCTACTCGTATTGGCTTGTGTAGATGAACTTCATCAAGATGAGCTCCTGCATATGTTCATGGAAAATGTCCTCCAGCGTCCGGCCCCATTCTTCTCGTAGCCACGTCCGGAATTCCTGCAGAAACAGCCGGGAGGAGAAAGTGAGGCCCATAGATTGGACATAAGTCCCTCTGATCCTGTTGCACCTCCCACTAAGACCTGTTAGGCTGTAGCCATCTTTTCTTTTGGATCTTTGGCCTGCCACACTTTCTATTATTCTGCTATGGTGGGAAAATGGGAGAAAGGACTGAATGGAGCTAGATGCTATGTAGCCATAACAACATTCTTCCTAGAAAGCCAAGGTCATCCTTTGTCTTTGCACCTCTGCACCTGACCGGAACTGGATGGGTGGAAGCTGCCNAAAGATGGACGATAAATACAAATTCCTATAAAATACAATGCAGTTTAATTTCCTAACCATTTTATGATAAAGGTTTTTTTTCTTTTAGCAGGTTTATAACCAACCATGTATCTTAACTGTTGATCTCTTAGTATTTCTGTAGAATAGCCAGTAGTTTATCGTGCATGTTAATGATAATGTCCACTTTTAACCATTGTTAATGTGTCTTTATTATAACTTTTTGAAATATGTTTCAATAAAAAGAATATATAAACATCCCTCTAATAAAATTCAGCTGTTCCTTTTGACAAGTTTATTTCTATTTATTTTTCTCTTCTTGCTTTCACTACGCCTATTTCTTAATGAAAAAGGATGCTGGAACATCTGTAGGGGAAAACTTTTGTGAAAAGGTGGGTTATATTTTTTTGTCCAAAAAACAGGTTTTTTTCTTTCTTCTGAATATATTAACTATCAAATTTATTTTTCTGTTCTTAGTTTGCAGATTTTATTGTAGATCACCAGAAACTAAAATTATATCCCGTTGCTAAGAAGAAGGTGGTTAGTAAAATCACCAATACTTTCCATGAATACATTGTAAGCTTGGATGTTTTGAAAAAGAATAATGAAATAATTGTGAAATTTACAATTCGTATTTACCTGGGATTATGTAATTTATCTAGAATTCTTTACTTTGGATTCTTATATGGGGAGTTCGTCACTTTTAATCTCAGCTACTTATGTTTCCCTACACATTGCTGATTTCTCAATGTATGCTTACTTTAAGTCATACTCTGCATACATTTTTCTGTGAAAAAATATTGTTTGAATATTTTAATGTCAGTTTTCTATCCTGTATCTTGCTTTCTTTTCAGTTTGATTTTAAGACTCTTAGATGTACTCAAAATATTTTGTCACCAGTGGAAACAGTTGAATAATGTTTACTTAATTTAAAGTTAATGAGATCCATTGGAGGTGATAGAAATGTGTGTTAATCTTGTTATCTGGGGGGAGTTCAAGCCAGTTGTTACTGAGAAAATGGACAGAGTCCTTGGAAATATTACCAGTAGTTCTGCCATCTATACTCTGAATCCATGCCCCTCCTGGTTGATTAAGGCCTCCTGGGAAATGACATGGTTGAGTTCAAGCAATAATTAATGTCTCTTTGTAGGAGAGATGATACGGTTGTCCTGAAGGACATGGTTGTGCACCCCCTTCTCAAGAAGCCATCTTTGCACCCCATAGTATTGAACAACTTTTGTCCAGTCTCCAATCTTCCTTTGGGGGGAAGGTTGTTGAAAACTGGCTGGTATACAACTACAAAGGGCCCTGGATAAAGTGAATTATTTGAACCTTTTCAGTTGGGTTCAGGCCGGAGCACAGCACTGAAACAGCTTTAGTCATACTTGTTGATGACCTTTGGAGGGCTTGAGATAGAGGTGGTTTGACCCTTCTGGCCCACCTGGACCTTGTAGCAACTTCCAGTATCATCAATCTTGATATCTTTCTGGATCAGCTTTGAGAGTTGGGAGTGTGAGACACTGTTATGATGATTCTCCTCCTTTCTCCATGACTGGTCTCAGTTGGTGTTGGTATGGAAGGAATAGTTGAACCCTAGGCCCCTTCAATGTGAGTTATATATATGTAGACTAGTAATGTTAGGGCCTTTTCTATGGTAGCCCTTATACCTGTGATGGCGAACCTATGGCACGCGTGCTAGAGGTGGCACGCAGAGCCCTCTCTGTGGACACGTGCGCTGTCGGCAGTTGCTCATTTGGTTTCATGTGGTCTTCACAGACGCTGAAAAACGGCCAAAAAACAGGCATGCATGTGCCAACCACCTGATTTTCAGTTCTCCTAGGCACTGCTTGGAGAGCCCAAACACGGGTTAACTTAAGCTTGCTGCCCAAGGACGGAGTTCAAAGTTCGTGCAGCCACGCCTCTTGCTCCCCTCAGAGGCTCAGTTTTAAAAAACTCAGTCCCCCTAAAGGACACTTTTTTGGGGTGTTCCAGTCTTTGAGCAACAAGTTGGACTCCTAGTTAGTGTAGTGTAGCCTTATTAATTTCTCTTGTGTTTTGTTAGGTTAATTCCTGTAGCTTTGTTGTTTTTGGCTCCTGATCCAGATAAGTAAATCACCATCGGACGCGCGAAACAGGCTGCCTGGAGCGTGGCTGGCTTTCGCGCTGCTGTGATTACAGCAACACCACGGGAGGCTTGTTCAGCGGCTGCTGGCGAGCTCTTGGGGACAGGTAGGCAGTCAGGGTCCCCAAAAGGAATTTCGGAGGACGATTAGCTAGCCGAACACTCTCCTGGGTATTCGGATCCTCCAACAGTTTCCCCGGTGCCTGCGGGGATGTGTGTACCGACTTCGTAGGCATAGAACATTGCCATATGCATCTTCCTTTTGGGTCTTATTCTTCATTTTTTAAAACTGAGCCTCTGAGGGGAGCAAGAGGCGTGGCTACACGAACTTTGAACTCAGTCCTTGGGCAGCAAGCTGAAGTTAAGCCGTGCTTGGACACTCCCGCAGCGCCTAGAGAACAACCATTCAGGTAAGTCAACGGTCATTTGCTGGTAGTCCAGCACGCGCAAAGACCAGCTGGCCTGAGCGCATGAGTGTGCTGGAAACCTGAAGACCAGCTGTCCGGTGCGCATGCATGCGTGTTCCAGTTTGGACATTCAATGCCAAAAAGGTTAGCCATCATAGCCCTATACTGTTCCCTGACTTTTGGCAGGTTTCTATCCTCCTAGCTTTCCATAGAGCTTCTGAAGACCTGGCTTTTCCCTCAACTACTGGCATAAGATTAAATGATTATGCATTAAAAGTTTGACTTGGCACTAGGTTTTTTTTGTTTTACAATTTTAATATTTTTGTACTGAGTGGTACCTCAGTACTGATGGTTAATTGGTTACGGGAGCTGCAATAAGTACTAAAAACAAGGAATGACTAACAAATCACATGATTTACCACATGATCCTTTGTTTTGGCCAGCAAGGACTTTCCGTCTGTCCCTTTTCTTATGTCAGCAACCTTCCCAGCATGGCTGACTTCCTGTTCATTCTCCACAGTCGTTGCCCTTTTCCTATCACAACACATCAAGTACAAAAAAAGGATGCGTACTAGGACAATGTTTTCATGACAAAATATCTCAACTACCAAATTCTATGAGTTTTGAAGCAGTTGAGTACCAAGGCATCACTGTATGTTTTTTTTTNATGCATAAATCATTAAAATCAAGCCTAAATAGAATTCTGAACCCAGAGAAGCAGATATCTAAAGAAGAATTCAAAGAAGAAGGGAGGGAGACAACAAAAGGGTAGAAATGGAGGGAAATAAAAGCAGACAAAAAACTCCATTGGTCTTGGCAGTGGTATAGGGAAAACTGTAAAAAGAGGAGGTGTCCCAACAAAGGGGAATAAAAAGGCAGACAAAAGTGGTTTTGGAGGTTGTTAGTGGTATAAGGAAAATTGAAGTAGGAGGTTTTGCCCCAACAAAGAGAAATATAAAATATTCTTTTGAGGGTGGCCTGGGGAAAATTGATGAGAATGGATATGTCAAAACAAAGAAAAGCGAAAAGACAGGAACAGAGAAGTGGAACAAAAGACTTACTAGGAAAAAATCAGACATCTAGAAACTGTTATATGGGAAAATATAAAGCAAGATAAGGGTTTTATTCCTAAATATGACAATAAAATGGAGTTGCGAACTGGTTGAATATAATAATGGAAAGATAACTGAACAAATCCCCAAATACATGGAATATGGATAAATATGAAACTGATATGTGGAGGTTGTAAAGCAGAGGTTTGTGATTCACTTTTATACATGATAATTAAACTCAGATGCAAATTGACTGAAAATGACAATAGGACAACTAAGCATGGGTTAAAATATATGAAACATGCATATATATAGAACTTTTAAGATGAATAAAGTGAGATGTTTACCACTCATTATTCTATATAATAGATTAAGGGAATTGTAATGAACATTAAACAGCAAGATTTGCTATTTATAGACAATTAAGGGTAATTTTCCAAGATATGGAAAAATGGAGAGGGAACATGAAATACACCTACAATGGGAAACTATTGAGATTTAAAGACAGAATAACAAATTGGGGGCATGTAAGGATGTATAATTATATAAATATAATGATGAGTATAGCTGGGAATTGTAACCAGGTCTACATCTCGACCAAAATTAGGCTGGGTGGGGGGTTTAAAAGCACAATGACTATATATGTATACTTTTTTGTTTGCATTTAATTTTAACATATATTCTCCTCCCTTTAAAAAAAAAAGAGAATATATGTTAAAATTAAATATGTATATTGAAAAGGAATTAGAAATACCATCAACAAAAAATGGAGTTCTCTCAGAAGCTGAAATATACCCAGTAAATGAGATGGAGAGTGGGAAGAAAAGGAGAAAGATAAGAGAAGAAGAGAGGGATAGGACAGAGGGCAAGGAAGGGGGAAGAGGAGGAGAGAAATGAGGAGTGGAAAGGGGAGAGAGGAGAAAGAGAGAGGAAGGGAAAGAAGAGAAGGGAAGGATGACAGAGGGAAGAAAGGAGGTAGGGAGGGAGAGGAGAGAGGGAGAAGAAAGTGATGGATAAGGTACAAATATGGTGTATGGAGAGCAGAAGAGNGTAGTATATTTAGTACTATTACATATAATATTTAATACATACAGTATTTGCTATTAATATAGTATTTAGTACATACAGCATTTAGTACTAGCCATTTCTATATCAGTGTTAATCTACCCATCAAAACCAATATTTCATTTGCCCCCCTGTTTGGGGTGGTGATCCTTTACTTAGGATAGAGAGGAAGCCGAATGAACTGGGGACAGTGGCTTGAAGACTTCGTTCATGAGAAGAAATTTTTTAGGACTGCTTCTGGTCCAATCAAAACAGATGCGAAGATGAGGCAGATTTCATTTTCAAAAAGAACCATCCTTAATTATAATAATGAAGGGATCATGTTAGTTCCTGTTTGAAAAATGGTTTCTTCAGTTCATCATTATTTACCAGAATCCACAGCTTTTCAATGTTTGTTTTTGCTTCCTTGGTTAAATAAAATAAGAAGGAGGATTTTCCTATATTTCATTTTGCAAATGCCTCCACAAACACAAAGTGATCTATTAAACAAACTCCATTCCAATACCAATAGGAATTGGGCAGAGAGGACACTTGAAGTCCAGAAAGAAGATTTGATCAAAAAAACAGCCCTGGCCAACTCAAACTCAGGAGCTATGAAGCTCCATTTCAGGGGTTCTTCTATCAATCTTTCCATTTAGCTGGCCTTCATAATTTTGATTTATGAAATAAATTTAAACAGACCCCTTTTCTTTCTAGCTTTAATTGCCACAAAATATATTCACAAATGAAGAAATACCTTGTTTTAAATCAAAATTCATCAGTGGCAGGGCTGTGTGTCATCTTTGCTCCTTACTTTGCCAATACAACTCCAATATCACAAAGTTTGAAAAAGCATTCAATATATACATTAAAATTTTGTTTAAAAAGTGATACATTTTTCTTGCTAAGTGAAATCATTACCTTTAGTTGTATGTGTTCACACAGCCTAATTTATCCTTTTAGAGATTAAAAGTACTCAAAGTTTGACAACTTGTAGAAAAGCAAAGATATAGCAACATTAAGTCACACATCAACTCTGATTTGACCGGAAATTCTCNAAAAGGTTCGTGACACTACCGTAGGGTAACACCTATGATAAAGAATCATTAAAATGCTGCCAAATACATTACTTGAGTGTCTTACAAACCTACAAATAATGGCCATGGTTGTGTGTAAATTGAACTGTGTTGTAGTTTGTCAATTTGTTATGCTATCTGACCCATTCATAGTTTTTCCATAGACCAGGAATGGAGAAACCAATTCTGAAGATATTATGAAATTGAAATTCTTAGCATGTTAGCATAATCAGTTTGGTTCAGGTTATTGTAAATCATCTCTGACAATATCAGGTAGGTCACAGCATACCTACACTTGCTTTAAATCAAATAGATATTTGCTTCCAAGCATGGATGTTATCAACCTATGAAAAACTTCTGAATTGTTCTTAGCATGGTGTCAGGATAAATAAAAATGAATCAAGAGCTGCTGGTAGTCTCCAGATTGATTGCAATGGTGTGTTCCGAATCCTGTTGCAAGCGGTACGTATGTATTCCTAACCATGTCCTAGGTCTAGGACTTCAAATAATAGTCTTAGCACCATTAAATGAGTCCATCTACTTTCTGCTGGTTGTCTTGTTCTCTTTCCACCCACATTTTCCAGCAATAGAGCTTTCTCCAGGACCTTAAAAAGCTCTTAAATGTTAGTCTGAAAAATGAAATGTTTAAATATATAGAAAGAAATTAAATAATTACCAGTACATATTTTCATCATTTTTGTAGCTAGTTTCCATTGAAAAGGGTTTGACTCTCAGTTGTTACTAGAACAAATACTTATGTTTTGAGCTTCCTCTAGCAATATCCTTCTGAGGATAGTCTAGTAATGTCTTTGATGCCATACATCTGTTATCCTCCTCTTCTTTTTCCCAGAAATTTGCCAAGCAAAGCCATATTTCCTCATCAAATTTTGTTCTGATTACAAAAGTGCATCCCTTGTCATGTTACAGGATTGTGTACCACTGGAACATTATCTAAGGACAATGACCAATAGGCTACTACTTAGACTTATATACCACTTCCTGGTCCTTTACAGCCCTCTTTGAGCAGTTTTACAGAGTCAGCTTATTGCCCCCAACAATCCGGGTCCTCATTTTATCGACCTTGGAAAGATGGAATGCTGAGTCAACCTTGAGCCAGTCAGAACCAAACTGCTGAACTGCTGGCAGCAGGAAATCAGCAGAAGTAGCCTGCAGTACTGCATTCTAACCACTGCACCACCAAGCTCCTCTCTACCATATAATTCACTAAGTGAACTTGAGCCAATTGCTCATTTTTAAGCTAATTTGCCTCACATATATCTATAATAAGAGCAAGATCCCACATGAAGTCCTAGTTGAATAGCAATGTGACTTTATCCCTGATGTGTTGCTTTTTACCAGAAACATGTAGTGTGGCTCAAAATTCTTAATCAAAATTACACACACACACACACATTTCACACCCATATCATAGCCACCATCTGGATTTCTGCAGAAATCAGAATTGAAAACATTGGATCGTATGGTCTGGCTAGGTATTTTCTTAAGAGTAGCTCAACATGTCTTAAAGAAGAGCAGCCGAGTTGTGAGGTAGCTGTAGGTTTTCATTGAAAGCTACCTAAAAGTTGCTGATGGCTGAAAGTAATGTCTGTAGTTTATTTTTTATTATTAAAGTGTATTATAGACTAAACTACAAATAGAAA